AGATGATAATTGAGCAAATTCTTGTCTAATGTTTGCTCATTTGTAGGTTCATAGATTCATACCGCTTCTTTGAAATGCTGCTTTTATGGCTATTTGAGACCATGTCAGTATTAAAGAAGGAGCAGAGAAAAGAATTAATTTTGGCTGCCTTACAGAAGCAGACTATTGGGAGTATAACAACAGCCCTCCTTTGTCTGAGGCTGGTATTGGTGGGATTTAAAAATAGATTGGGAGAGGGAAGGGGATGTTTCCAAGATTTTTAGAGGAAAAAATATATTCTATAAATGTTGGAATTCAGTGAGAATTTTTGGAACTCGGTCTCTATATCTGAAATTGTTGGTATGGTGTATTAGAAATTGAAGGATTTCTGGCAGAACTTTAGAAGTTCTAGCTGTCATCCTAGATATTTAGCAGATACATAATTGTTGAATGAGTCTTTGGAAAGAAAGTTGTCATTAAGTATTTTCTAGAATTTGATATGAAGCCATTGACTGTCTTTCTAGATAAATTAGCTACAATTGAATCATGGTACCATTTTTCTAGACTGCAAAAAATGAGTGCTTAATTAAGCTTTAATGTTGGGGCTTGCCCACAGCCTCTTGAAATCCTAGTTCTAATATTGCAGACTGGACTGTTGAAATTCTTTCTGCAATTCTTTTTTTGCTTTTTTATTGCATCTTTTTTATGAATTATTTCAAAAGAGCCCTGTAAGTAAGACCTGTGGCTGTGACTGGTATGTAACTGGAAATGGAGTAAAAGCTTGTGAATGTGCCATTTTCTGCTGGTATTTGTCTTTCCTTTGTTTGCCTCATTCTAAATCTTTCTCGTAATGTTATAAAACTATGGTTAACTTGCTCTTATAGCCTGAATTGAAAGATCATGTAAATGTGGCTGGGCTACACAGGGGCCTTTCTCCTCATCATAACTGTGGGGAAGGTAGCAGAGTGTGGCCGCGGAGGGGAAGCTCTCGGCTCACTAGGTCATTCTTGGATTACATCATGGATACTGCCAATAGGTTCAGTCCACTGCTCTAACAATGTAATTTAGAGGAATAGAATTATAACTATTGTTGTGGGCGCAAACTTTTTTTTTTTTTTCTTGCAATACTGTTTTGCCCAAACATGTCTACCTTGTCCTAATTGGCATCAAAAGTTGATTTAATCGTTACTGCATTGCTAAACTAAGGAAAAAAAATATAAAATTAAAAACCAAAAAATGCTTGTCTCCTCCTTCATAAAAATAATAATAGTATTTCACCCAGGAAAGTCTGTCCAGCTCTGATTTCTGTTTAAAAGATGCTGTAGAGATTTCTGTTTTAAATAGTTATGGAAAGTATTATTTTTTATTGGCTTGAACTTTGTTTTAGGTCTTTTTAATACATTCGCTGTCTAAAGAGGAAAAGCCTTATTAAACTGACAAAATGAGCAAGTTTCTGTGCAGAGGACTCAGCAGATTGTATCTAATCACTTGTGATCAAGAAAACAAATTATGGTCAGTGATCTTATATTTTTGCTTTATGAATTAACAGATACGTTTAATGCAAAATCCTAATGTTGCTGCTCTTGTTAAATAGTAGTTTAAAAGTATTTGCAGTTCCTTTTAGGGTATGGGGTCATCTTTCAACAAGGTGCAAACGTTATAGGGGCTCCAGGTGCGGTTAGAGTGGGGGACAGTCTGATTCATGCCAGGGCGGTTTTACCATCAGCTGTGGAGTCCCTTTTAGTTGTTGGTGGCTTTCCATCAAAATGAACTGGTGGGCAGTGTGAATTTTACTTTTTGCGTTTCTGTCATTCTAAACAGCTTTATTGAGAAAAGGAAAGAAAAAAATCTTAGGAGTTTAATCTTAGTAATCTTCACCCAAAAAAGGCAGACATGCTGTGTCATAAAAATAACTATTAGTGACTAGTTTGTATCCTATAAATCTAACTCGAGTTGATAATATGGTCCATTACCAGCTAACTGCACAGAGTATTTTTCATTTTACACTCTTCAGTTACTTTTTAGTGAAGTGTTAAAAAATATGAAGCTTTTCTCCTCTGAAATTGCACACTGTCTGTCTGTTATTAGGGAGATAACAGCTCTTATAAATATTTCAGTAAGCATTAAGTAGACAGTTATGTGCACTCTCATTCCACGCTTATTTGCTTACTGTAATAAACTGATAAAATATGTGTAGTTTGTCTCTGTGTATCTGCAGGCATCATGAGTCACATAGATTTCCTTTAGAAATAATGTTGTGTCTGCAGAATTGATTGGTTATTTTCATAAACCATCCAAAGGTACACAAATGACTTCTATTATTTAAACATATGCTGTGTAAGATTTGTGGGGATTATCTCATGGTTACTAGGAGCTTCTTATTAACTCTTTGGAGATTTTTTTTTTTAACTCCAGAATTATTGCAGGTATCTGTCCTATTGCTTTCTTTAAGTAGTGCAATTGTGAGCATTACATTTTTTAAAACTAGAACAAAATTTAAACAAAAGATACTTACTTGACTGATGTAATGGTTATGTAGGTTGTCATCTCTGTCAAGTAAATATCTTGAGAGCTCTAATTTTCAGAAACTAAATGTCTTTTGTCCAGGGTATGTTTAGGTTTTATTTATTTATAGAACTGCCATATTAAATAGATCTGAAGATTAAAAACCATAAAAACCTAATGTTATTCTGGCTGTCATTTGCAAGCTTTCTCCTCTGTGTAGTATGACTTTGAAAATAAAAGTGAATGAGATCATGTGAGCGAAATTGAGAATGAAATATGAGATTAACACTTTAAGAGCTTAGGAAAAGTCTTTAAGTAAAAATCACAACAGGGTTTTGAGAATTTGAGTCAGTATCACAATTTATTAAGTATATTGAGGGATTTTTGCTCTGTTTATATCTAAAGTTTGGACTTCTAGATTTTTATGTTTCCATTCATATTTATAAATAATATTAATAAAAAGTTATATTAGCAAAGATTGTCTCATTACAACCATTCTGGACGGAGGAAGAGAGACAAGTTCTATGCAGAGAGAGAGAGAATCTTCTATTAGATCAACTGAAATTATTAGAAAAAGCAGGTAAAGCAGTTTTAAGATATAATAGTTCTAAGGAGTAAATTTCAATGTCTAATACAAGTAGAAGAAAGCCAAATTTAACTTTTATTAATCAGATTATTTAAGAAAAGGTAGTTACATTAATTTATATATATATATAATGTATATATACACATTTATATATGTATATATAAATATATCCATACATTATATCTATGCATATATAAAAATGTGTGTATATATTTATACTAAATGTATATATAGAAAAAAATAATGTAACTACCTTTTCTAAATATAGCTACCATATATATATATATATATATATGGTAGCTATATTTAGAAAAGGTAGTTACATTATTTTTTTCTATATATACATTTAGTATAAATATATACACACATTTTTATATATGCATAGATATAATGTATGGATATATTTATATATACATATATAAATGTGTATATATACATTATATATATATATAAATTAATGTAACTACCTTTTCTTAAATAATCTGATTAATAAAAGTTAAATTTGGCTTTCTTCTACTTGTATTAGACATTGAAATTTACTCCTTAGAACTATTATATCTTAAAACTGCTTTACCTGCTTTTTCTAATAATTTCAGTTGATCTAATAGAAGATTCTCTCTCTCTCTGCATAGAACTTGTCTCTCTTCCTCCGTCCAGAATGGTTGTAATGAGACACAAGGGAATTATCTGTGCACACAGCCGACTTGCTTTCCTTTTTGTGTCAGAGGTCTGTGTTTTAGGGCACTGTAGTACATGGAAAAGGAACCAAAGTTTCCATAATATAAATGGAAAGGCCTCATGTACCACTATACGCTTCAGGCATTCCTTGAAGCTCCAACTCCTGTATTGTCAGTACATGAGAGTCTTCTCTTGCACTGATCTGCAGTACTGTTGGAATCCATATCATGGTAGAGGAACGTTAGAAACAAGTTCTTAAAGCACAACAGCTCGTGAGTTAGAGAGTTGTCTTTGCTTTAAGTTACTTTTAGGGAGGATATTAACTGTTAATTGTTTGAAAAATCCAGTCAAGAATACTGATTGCAGATTCCAAATTTTGTATCTCTCTCTCCCTAAATACTCAAAGAAAAGAGTCACAAACACTTAAAAGTAGGAAACTATTAATAATGTAAATCAAGTGATACTATATTCACAATAATAGTGAGTAAATACTTCTTTCATATAAAAAATATGTGAATTCCTGAGATAAGTATTTTGACCAGTTCAAATTTCTTAATTTTCATCATACAAACTACTCTCTCATTGTGAGAAATAATAATGATACTGCCAAGAAAGTAAGAATGTGTCTCTCAATACCTTAATATGAGAAGTGGCTCATTCTGTACTGCTTATAAAGCACAAAATTATCTTCCAGTTTGGGTTCATAATCTTTTTTGCTGTCTCCTGTTACTAATGCTAGGAAAATACTGGGAAATAAGTAAGCCACATCAATTGTGAAATATTTTAAATTCTGACCTTTTTTCATTACTGTGTAGTAATGTAAATTTTACTAATACTTGTTCTGGTTTACTAGTTAGTAATTAAATTTGGAAACTGGTATTACTCTAAATGAAGTGCCAATGCTTGCAAAGCAAAAGGATGTAATTCTAATGCTTTTTTTCCCCCTGTAATTATTATTTTTTAAATATAAACCCTTATTTTGGGGATGATGGCACTGTAAGATTTTAATGGTAACGTTTTGTGTGCTTTAACTGTGGTGGGAAGAAAAAACAAGACACTTAAACGTGTAAGTGTAACATCTATTTGAGATCTACTTGAAATTAAACCACAAGTATTTGCTTTTTTGTTGTTGTTGTTGCATACAGATTTTTACAGAGGTTTGGGGGTTTTGAATCCTTGATCTTCTGTTGTTTAACTTGCTTTATCTGCTCAAAATATTCTCTTGTAGAATCTCTTGAGCCCGAGGGATCTATTAGTGTCTCAATGGGTATCGACTTCTGTGATTCTACTCAGGCTGTCACTTTCCAGTTATGGTGAGTTCTCCTGGGAGGGGGGGGAAAGTCCTCACATGAAAATAACATGGAACATGGTATTTTCATTTTGTGGCTGTAAATATGGTGCACTGCTATTTTATTGCCCTGCTACAAAGCTTAGCTTGGAAAACTTGCATGTTATTAAAGGTAGGGATGAAAGTTTTATGGTAGAAATGTAGCTGAGCAACACCAAAGGAACCACTGCTAAAACTGAATTACCTGTTTTAGTGGCAGGGAGATTTACTATTAAAAATTTATCTATTTCTTTTCTTTCTCCCAAAACCTTTTTATTATTATTATTTTTTTTGTACAGTAGCTCTTCATAGGAATTCGTTTTAAAGATGTTGGTACCTCCAGCAAGACATCTGCAGCATGTAGTTTGCACATATTACATCGTTGTGGTTTGTCTGTATGCTGGAATTTGGAGGAAGTTTTAGACAGTTTGGAAATCTAGCTTGTTTTTCTGCATCGTATGTTAGCCTGATGCAGGCTTTGTTCAGAGAGGAAATTCAATTCTAGGCGATTTGTTTTCATAATTGCCTCAAAAGAGGAAGCATTTTTGTGTCTATAAATGTTTTTATTTTATACAAAATGTGCTCTGTTTATCCAGCAGAGACACTCTTAGGCAGAGCAGATATTTTCTTTTAAGTACATCTTTTCAGTATACCAGTGATTTGGTTCCAAACTTAAACCATTTATTGCTAAGAATTTCAGCAGTGATGAGGATAAGCAATGTAGCATAACACATTGATTTTATGCAGATCATCACCTTTATGTTTTGGGAGGTCTGCTATATTAGTGATATATAATAACCGATTACTTTCTCCAACATTGCCTAGTAATTGTTTATTATTTTCCTATTAGACAAACAAGACAGATCGATATTCCTGAACACCAACCAGACTATGAGTAACATCACTGTAATTAGATTTGCCTCAGACTTCAGCGGTGTATTCATTTTAATGATTTGGACAATGTGAGTCCAATGACAAAGCTTGAGTAAGCTAAGTTTAAAATTAAATTAAGAATAGGAATTGCTTACTTGATTCCTTTACTAATTGATAAGGCCTTGTCATTTTGAGCCTAGCTCTTTGAAAATGGTGTAAAATAGGTAAAATATTATTTGAATTTAATTTGCTATTTTACTGATAAAATAAAACATGTGTTGTTCAAAATCGTACTGATGTCAATACCACCAAAACGATTATGCCTTGTGAGGTTTCTTGGGCTGAGTGACTACACACTCAACTGAAGCCTTTTTAAATTGTCATACTTTTTAAAAAGCTTTTATCCAAGAGGAAGGATAACTTCCAGAAGTCTGTCAAAATGTAGCAAAAAATACTGTGCACATAAAGGTGTCAATATTGTTGTATTTTCTAATAATGTCTTTCATAGAGATGTCTGATACCATGTCAGTTATTTTGTGTTTTTGTTAGAAGCAGATTCAGTAGCAAAGTGTTCCTGATCATAATCCTCTTTTTCATGTTGTTCTAAAAGGAGCACTTTGTCTTGCATCAGATGTAATTGAAGCAGTGTAATCACAATTACTCACTTCCTTAATTGGCCTGCCCAAAATCAGAAAATGGAAACCGATCGGCAGTGTTTAAATCAATAGCTTTGTAGTAATGCTTGTGGGGGTAGGGAGATAGTGGTAATGGGTAGATCAATTGGTCTTAGATGCCAATCACAGACTGTGTGTTTTGCATAGCAAACACCACCTTTCTGCTTGGGGATGTGCTGTTGCAATAGTGGTTCAATAAAAACAAGCTACATCAAGAAAAAAGCAAACACGAGTGAGAAAATATTTAGATCTCTTTCTGAAGCTCTTGTGTGAATCAAGGACAAGGAAAGAGGGATTGTGGTACAGAGAGGCTCAAAGTGTTGAGCTTTGAAAGGCCTCCTTTGTAAACACTTTTTATTAAACAAGGCTTACCAAGATCACACATCTAACTAAAGAGAGGGGAAACACCTTATCTTGAAAACTGTTCCTAATGTGTTTATTTAGAACATGTATTAGGATGTTCAACCTATGTACTCATAGCGAGAACATCGTTTTCGTCTTGTGCTCTCCACTTGCACACTAATGCTTCACTTTACACTCATGTTCTGCACAGTAATGTCTTTCTATATGCTCTTCTTTAAATCTGGAAAATTAGACAATAAGTGGAGAATTTTAGTCTTTTAAATGATGTTTGCAGATTGTTACTGCTCCTTTTTGGGTCACTGTTCAGACTCCGCAAGCAGAATATGCACAACTTAGACAACAAGAAGTTGCTGTATACTTTTATCTCGTGTGCCCAGGCAGTCTGATAGCTTGCTGAATCTTAGTTGAGCGTTAGGATTTTCACCATCCCAGTAAGACAGCTGAGCCTTTGCTGAGCAAGATGGCATCAGGCAGGAGAGGAAAGGTTGGCCCCCTCTGATCCCCTGAATGGATCCTTGATGTTGCAGGTTTGCTGTACTCCACTGACTGGAGATTATTTTTCTCTGTGAGATACTATGTTTCCATGTTTCTTGTGTTTTCCTTTAAGTCCTTGAGCCTACTATCATTATAGCAGTCCTTATGTTGTCTTCTGTTTGCTTTATTATGTTGCATGTCTCTACTTATCAGATATTCTTAGAGCTTTCTCACAGCTTAGCAGTTTCCTCAGATGTGTGAATCTTGGTTTTGGAGCTTGTCTGTGTCAGAGTTTGCCCCCAGATCCTTGGAAGGATTGGAAACCATTGGACACCTAGAAAAGAAAGGCAAGGAATGTTAGAGGGTTATGTGCACTTAAGTCCATATGTGTACTTACCCTATTTTGTGTTGGCATGGGTTTAGACTTTCTAATTCTTGATTCCATTTGTAAAAGCCAGTAGGCAAATCTCCAGGTTGTTTTAAGTGCATGGTAAGTGACTGAAGGTGAAAAAGTCCTATTCATAGCTTTGCAAGCTGGAGAAATGGATAGAAAACATTCTTATCTCTTTGCTTCCCTTTCCTTCTCCATCTGCTCAATACTTTTAGCTCTTCTCAAAGCCATAAAAGAAAAGCAGCTTTGAAAATAAAATAAGAGAACCTGTTTTATTCTCCCCTGTCTTTTGAAAATTTTGGATGTTGTTCACTCTCTTCATTAGCATTGGAGTAGGGAATGTGCCTGTGTCCATGTGTTCCGGATGTGCTCGGGATTCGGCAATAATCAGCCAGAACGAGGTGACTACATCGAGCATTTATTCAGGTGAACGCACATTAAAGAAGCAAAGTATGGATAACTGCTCACGAGGTGATACCTGCCGATCTGGACCCGAACATCCTCTTGAGCTGGCAGACCAGAGAGAGAGAGTTGCTGACCGGCTCCCACAGAGACAGCGTAGGCCTCAAAGTCAGGAGTTTCTTCTCCTCCCTGCTCTCTCCGCACTGTCCACTTTTATGCCTGGTGCATCCTGGCATGTAGGGTCAGTAGGACCCAGGAGGCAGCCCAGGGGGGCAGACAAACCCCGAGTTGCGCAACTCTCCCCCCGCCAGGCACGCATGCCAGTCAGGGGTCCCAGCCCTCAATTCGAGGGTCCTGCCTTCCTCCTCTTCTTCCTCAATTCCGAGTAAAGCTAGTTTGGAGGACGTCTGTGGTTAAGTTGGCTACAAGCCCAGCCGAGCGGCCAGCTTCAACAGGTTTCCAGGGAAAGGCTGCCTATGAACTAGGCTGAGAAGCTGTATCCGTGCTCCTTATCGCTCAGCCTAGGCAGGCAAACGTCTTCTTTCCCAAGGTCTGGCCTCTGCTTCTCACAGGAGATTTTTATGACTCTACAGATCACAGAAATTTCCATCTCCAATACACCATGCGAATCTTTCTCCAGCTTAATTTTCTCAAGATTTAACTGTGAAGAGTATGATCGGGGTCCCAAGAAGATAGAAGAGAAAGGCAATGGAAGGAGCAACTTTTATACCTTCCATTCTTGCTTAAAATAACGAGACCGTGGAAGAAGTGACGTGTGACACAGAGGTGACACAGAGGTTCATACAAGCGATACGATGAGACGGACTAAGACCAAGGTGAAAAGATCGTGGGAAAGTCACCAGCTGGAAGAACAGAGAAGTAGGAGAGGAAGAACCTGTAAACAAGCTTATCAGTGTAGAATAGAGGACTGTGTGCCGGCCAATCATGTAAACGTGTGCCCCGATATCTACAGCCAACCTAGTATGGTAGAAGACGCGTGGACAGTAGTATGTAACCAATTACAATGTTAGCATACGCGTGGCTAGATGACTTAGCAGAAATGTAGTAGATAAATAGAGTGCTGTAACGCGGATAAAGCGATTTCTGTTTGACTCATATTGAAGCCTTCAGGAGTCGTGTCTGGCCTCCCGAACGTCTGTTGCTCATGACTGAATTTGTAAATATACATTTAGTTTGATGCTTCATAGGTTACATTTAAACAATAATATGAATAAAAGTAATGTTTTCAGAAATACAAGAGTGTGCATACCATATTGGTACTGTATTTGTGTTGGAGAAGAAGCAAGGAATATCTATGCTGATGTAAAAACACTTGGTTGATTCTCTGCAACTTCTCTTTTCCTAGCACAAAGGAGGATCATTTCAACGTTAGCATCCAACCCCCTGTGGCAGAACTGCTTCTACCTGTCACTATGTCAGAGAAGGACTTTAAGAAGGAGCAAGGTGAGAAACATTATTTCAGCAGCTTCAGGAAATGTATTTGAATGAGAAGAGGCTTGTGCTGCTTTCAACATCCAAGTGTGCATGGAGTGCTTCTAGTATAGCTCTTGCTGGTGTTCTCCGTTAGTGTTGTCTGGTATTGATGATTCCTTAAAAAGGTCCCTCAGTGGCACGGGGGTTTTTCTTTTTTTTTTTTTTTTTTTTTTTTTTTTTTTTAGGGTGCCCTTATACAAGGTGGGCTTTGCTTTTTTCCTAAGGATATGTTTCCTCATATTTTTTAGCTTAAAGGGTTTTGGCTTCCTGTCATGAAGTATTAATGTGCTTCATATGAGCTGAAAGGCAGAAACTTGGAACCCCAGCTCCAATAAATAACCCCATTATATCAATGTATATTTGGTTTTACTAGCTGTTATCCCAAGACTACACTTAAATACTACTTTTTCTTCAAATACTTAAGTTTATTTTAACCTTTCTGCTTTAGAACATTTCTATGTATAAAAAGAATATTCTTGCTTGAATAAGCTTCAGAAAGGTGCCATCTTGCAAAAACCTTGCAGACATTCTTCTGATGTTGCATCTTTAAGGAAGAGAAGAGTTTGATTCTAGTCCAAACACAACCCCCCCCCCCCCCCATCAGAGCATTTAATAACTTGAATATTTTATGCAGAATAACTAGAGAAAATTGTAGTTAGCTTTGCCTGTGTGTTAAGTGGAACAATCCATACTCCTACCCTTAATTTGGATGTGATTCTTGGATATTCTGAAATATAAATTATTGCATTTTGAGTGTGTTCAAATGCCATAATGTTTACTCATCTGTCCCAATGTATGGGGATTTACATGTGTAAATCTCTTCACACAGAGATGAGAATGGGATGGGATTCTGTCACATTGCTGTTTAAGGCTCAGAAACTCGGCGTACACATCACGCAGTCAAGAACACCAATGAGTAGTACTATGTATTATTAATTAGTGCTTTTGAACATTTCTTGCTTTTGTGGTTTTGAATTATTCAGAAAGTAGTTTAAATATTAGCTAGATTCATTTCATTTAAAGTTTATTGCAGTAGTGAAAAGTTAGGATTGTGCTTTGTTTTCTTAACCAATTGATACTTATTTGCTGTTCTGTCCCCTTCCTGGCTTAAGCCTGCCTCTCTGCTTTATACCTGCTCAGCAACCCAAGGTGAGTGATTGAATGAGGCTGTAGCACATTTATTTTAAACTGTTCCCTTCTAAAAATTGTAGCTGAGGCTATAATGAAAGGAAAGGAGGTTACCATGCTTCTTCCTGCCATGTTTTGCTATTCGCTTGCTTTGTGATATTTTTGATAGAGTTTTTGTGTGTGTGGCTGTGACAGAAGGTTTTTTCCTCCTTACTGGCCATACGGAACTGGGAGCATACAGAAGTGTATTTGGAGAATAGCTGGGGTCCTCTATGGAGTTGTTGCCAAAATTCCTTTTTCTTCCGCCGTTTTACTTCCATGGTTGTTGATTATTTGTCTGAATAAATCTGGCAGCTGTTTGCTATGTTTAATAGAGCAGAAAGGCTACTCTGAATAAAGCTATTTGAAAATTTGTTTATATGAAGTATTTGTAAATTCATGAACATCTCTTGGCATTTCTGTATTGCGCTCTCTGTCTTCCTGAATTCAATTGTTGATGTAGGACTTGATGCTGGCAAATTTACCACAGCTTTAAAAACCTTTTCTATTGCAACTTTTTTTATTATAGATACCAGCTGTTTCAGAATAATCTTGGTAACTGGGGTCTCAGTCCTAAATTTTACATAAATATTTATTACAGAAATTTAGGAACAACTAGTGTTTGGGGACAGCTACTGTGTTATCTTGCTAAAAGAAAATTCCAAATTATAATAATAAAATGCAGGGCAATTTAGAAGTTACTGTATATTGTTTTATTCTGCGTTTAACTCTGGTTTGTCTTATTCTCCAAATGAATGTGATTTATGTAACTTTTTTCATTTGCCATCTTTTTCTCTGTGTGTGCATGTGGTTTGTTTTTTGTTTGGTTGGTTTCTTCTCTCCCTTTGTTTCTGGATATAAGATGATTCAAGTCTTAAACGTAGAGATGCTTTATTTTATTTGCTATCATAATAAATAGGTAAAAATAGCGAAGGAGAGCCCAGTATTAGAAATGCAAGGTTATAATGGGAAGAATGGGCACATGTGTGAGTTTTAAGGATTTTTGCATCTAAATTGCCCATGTAATCTAATAAGAATACTAAAGAGGAAATACCCAGTATTATATAGTATTACATACAGTATGATGCTGTAGAAGACATTAATTGCTGCAGGTCTTTACTCGGCTGCACCGCGCTGCTCTGCGTTGTCTGAACATTCGTGCGTTTCCATTTTCCTCCTGATTGCATAAGGAGAGGGGAGCAGAGAGGTTATTGAATATGGCTTGAAGGTTCCCCAGTGCTGGCCCTGGAACCTGGAAAGCTGTGTTTATCCGTCTTGATTTTATTAAGACTTATGCCTCCAACTTGTCTTCCTAACAAGCAAGATGCTAATTCTTTAAATGGTCAGGCATTTACTACTTTCCGGCCCTTGACTACCATAAGCAATCATATTTGATGCCCCTTAATTAGAGTACCCTTTTTTCTTTCCAGGTTCTTTTCCACCTCAGCAATCGAGACAATACATTTGCTTACCATGCTGCTCTCCTAAGTGTTCTTTTGCATGTAAATTAATCTTGATTCAGTTTACACTGTCATGCTGAGTGGTACAAATTGCCTATAACAATAAAACAGCATGAGTTAAAAATAAATGGGGGTGGAAAGGCAGATTGAATGTGTGTCTTACTTGATAAGATGTTACTTTGCTTTATGCCAATACATTAGTTGACGATAATGAATCTTCTGTTCTGAAAAGCATGGTTTAGTTGATTTTTTTAATTTTACTTCAATGGAGCAGTACCTTGTCTTTTATAGAACAAGTTAGACAAACCATTAATGACAAGAGTGTTAAGGTTAAATATGAAGCAATGCATTCACTTCTCTGAGTGCTATCCATCTTTCCATTTACAGGAGCTTGATAAAAGTACTGGCTTTGTACATTTCCTTTAATTACATGCTGCAGGAAACAGGCTTTTAACATAAACATAGTTGCATTCATTTATTCAGCATTCAGCTCTTCAGTAGAGCTTAATGGAGAAGGTTTAAATCCTAAATGAGTACACACATCTCAGCAGTGTTATGTCAGTCCCTGTGCTCTGCTTAAAAGCAGTTTTGGTCAGCATATGTAGTTTTTAAAACTTTTGCCTAATAGTGAAGTTAAACAATTTGAAACAGAATGTACTATTTCCAAGATAAAGCTGATTTTTATAGAAGTTGTGTGTGTGTGTGTGTATATATATATATATATATATTGTTCTCTTCAGGAGTAGATCATGTTCAAAAATATCCCTTTATTTACTCATGAGCTGCTCTATTTTTACTTTGTTTCTTTTTTCCCCCTTTTTGTGACAGTAGCTAATGCAGATTCTAGTGCATTAAAATGTTCAGTGTATATTTTTAATTGCTATATTAAGAATCTTAGTGTTGTTTGCTATGGATTAGAACTGTATACATGCCCCTCAAATACGAGCCTTAGGAGAGTTTTGTGGTGTTTTCATTTGTCAATATTATTGTGGGTTTCATTTGCTTGATATTTTTGCTTAAAGTACTGGGTTCCATTGTTTTTCCATGTTTTTAGATTATGGACATAATGTAAAAATATGCGCACAATGTTAAATTGCACTTACTGTTGCTTAGGTTTTATCAACATGAACACACTGCAAATCATTCTTCTAAACAATGGATGTTGATAAGAAGGAAAAGTGTTTTCTTTGTTATAATGTCTTTGAACAGCATTTCTTTCTTAACTTCTTTTTTGCCAGTTGTGTTTGGATATAATCTTAACATTTTTGTTTCATTTTGTAGTGTTCAAATTATTTTAATCAAATAGTTTATCATGACATTTTAAAGAGATGGATACTAACTGATTTTTTTCAGTTTCTAATGCGATGGCTTTATCTTCATGAACTAAATTGAACTGATGACTACTATCTGAATTTGAAGATTATTTTTAGCAATTGGATACAAAATTATAATTAATTACTGTCATTTTATGATTGAAAGATTAGAAGGTGTCTTTGGTTTTATTTAAGCTGGACTTCTCCAAATCAGTCTTACTTAATATTTCATTTTTGTGTTTACATTCTTCTTTCAGATTATACTTTTTGCAATCTTGATTTCTCGGTTGCATTAGTATCACATATATCATTGTTCAGTTGTTAACATATTATTTGCCTTATTAGTAAAAAATTATTAAGCAAACATAACTAAAATTGTTTTCTTGAGGAGTGATTTAACTTTTAATGTAAATGGTCTTTTTGATTACAAGTCTTTTATTTTTGTTTTATGCTTAATAAGCAAACAAATCTTAAAATATTCTTAATGAAATACTTATTATTTCAGGGATGCTGATAGGAATGAATGAAGCATCTGCTACAATAGCTGTTGCTCCACAGAACTCCACCAGTCTTGTAATAATGGAGAGAGTAGTGAAGGCAGCAAACCTGGGGGTAGTCCCTTCTGGTCAAGATAACATGCACAGGTAAGATGACATGTCATTTTCAGTGGGATCATCCTTTAATATTCATTAGTTCAAATTTCATTCACATTCTTTAATATTAGGGAAAAAAATTATTATCCTTACCTATAGCGGATAAGGTGTGCAGTTTACACTGTAACATAGAAACCTACCTAGGCATTAACTTGACCCTAAGTACTAATCAACTCTTTATTAAAATTTTAGTCCACCAAATATCTAGAAGCTACAGTACAGTGTTAGGAAGAGTTGTCCCTTTCTGGTTTTGTTTTAAATGGAAAAGATAAAATGCTTTTTCAAAGCATAATGCTTTTGGGAGTTTCCACGTTTTTTTTTTTTTTTTTGGGGGGGGGGGGTTGTTTCTTTTTTTTTCCGTATTAATTTTTGATTTTTTTCTTTTTTTTTTTTTAAGTTGGATGAAGATTTTTTTTTATTTAACCATTTTCTTCTCCTTTTTATTTATATGTAAGGAAAAACGCATTGTGGTCAACCTAGAAAGTCATTGGTCCTATCTAATTCTAGGTGTTTCTTGTAGATCAAACTACTTCACCCAAAGGCTGGGGTATAGAATGCCAGTTGAATCAATCTTACCATTGGTTAATGACAGCTTTTGTTCTGGTTCACTCAGAATATCTAGTGCTATGAATGTATATGGTTCCTCACTTTTGAGAGGAGCAACCAGGAAAGATTCCATAAGTGGAAAACTGAGTGGACCTAGATAGCAGCAAGACATTATTGCAAGCTGTTAATGTGGTCATAAAATCAGTCAAGAAATACCTCTTCTCTAGCATCTGCTACAACTATTCCAGAATATGGATGAACCCTCAAAATTCTCAATACCCAAATAAGAGTAAAATGTCTATTCTGAAAGTGAAGACCTATGTTTCTGTCAATTTTAGCTGACTTAGATGGAATGGTATCACTTAGCTTAAGCAGGACTAATAACCTGCTATTTCTCTTCCTTTGAATTTGGCCTTTTTTTGCATTGCTGGGCATTTGTATTACATTAACCTAGCTAGATTTTCCTATGCATTTGATACGGTCAATGATAAAATTCTGTTTCATCATAAAAACGTGATACAGCTAGTGCAATTGCACTGAAATGATTGTCACTATTGACACCTGCTCCCCTGCGGAGGAGTCCTCATTTGTTGCCTCCCAGCAGGATCTATGCAGCCTGCATTCTCAACAGAAATTTAAAGCCTAGGGGAGTGTCAAGCAAGAACAGACAAAAATGTTTGCAGTGTACAGGTATTCTCCATCTTTACCCTATGCACCACAGGAGACTTAGTGCACAGGGATGGATTGGTTAGTGACAGTCTCAAAAAGGCTGCCTAAAATAAAAGCTCAGCTCTTAGCTCAGCCTGTGTTGTATGATTGTAGGCAAGTTTCTCATTTGATCTTGGTTTCTCTGCCCCTCTAAAAAAGATTTCCGTCAAAGAGAGTCTATGACCAAGTGTTCTTAAATTGAAGAGATACTTGCTGTTTTGTGCGCTGTTTGAAGGCGTGTTCTCTGGTAGGGCTGAAGTGTTCAGCAAGCTCTAGAGTATCCTGACATCTCAGGTGTTTGTCTAAATTTTTGGGTCAAAATTGAATGTATTCAGTCTGCCATAGCAGTTACAGAATAATTTGTGTTTTTAGCAAACACTGTGCAAAAATATGTTTTATGATAACTTGAATAATAATATATTGTCATTAAAGTTGAACCTAGATTTAGATAAATGTATATTTGAGAACCTTCTCAAATCTCTAAAACAAATGACTGAATGATTGTTTATTTTTTATTTATATAAATGTATGTATGCTATATAATGTGTGTTTATTGGTTTAAATCAACTCTGTCATAACAGTAAAAAACAATGGATACTTGAAAAATTTAATGGATGCAAGAAGTGTGCCTTCTTTTATTTATGACATGAACATTAATACAGGATAAAATAAACAACTACTTTTAACCTTGACAAAGCAGTTATGAATTCTATTAAAATATGATAAAAGTGAAATTTAGGGTTTTTTTTTTTCTTCCGTAGTATCGACATTTGTATCATTTGTTTTATTGCAAGTGGTGTATTTGTGGAAAAAAATATACAGAAGAACTTGTATCAGTGCTTTTCATGCTATTCAGGGAGGGCTACTTGAGTTCATTTCTTGGAAGTGCTTGGTACATACCCATTTATACAGGAAAAGAAATACTGTTTCAAACTGATATTGGTTTTTTGCACTGTGCGGCATGAATTATATTAACCTTTCAGCTGGTCATTCCCAACTTAAGTATTACTACTTACTGACTGCTAATACCAAGAAATTTATATTGCCTGGTAATGAAATATATTCATTCAAAATGAAATTGTATAGTTTAATACAGGCCTAGCGAATAAGCCGGAACAGGTGCATGTTTCTTTTTTTTTTTTTTTTTCTTATTTTTCTCTTTCAGTCTAAGCATATTTCTATTCACAACAAGATATTTTAATATGTCATATTGGTGGGACCCAATTTCTGGTCCTTAAATTAATAACCCTATTAGGATTGCATTTTTGCTCCAAATAAGAACATTAGGGCAAATATAATGAAGATCTGAAAATAAATACTTGAAACAAACATTAACTGAATAGCATGCTCTCACAGATGAAAATGAAATAACTGTAAACCCATCAAATACATTAGCTATTTGTCAGTCCACAACACTGTAGTGATACTTTCTTGCATGCATTTTTTTTCTTTTCGTCATATAGCTGCTGAATTTATAATTACATGGAATTACTCGACTGCTATTGAGTGTAGAAGAGCACGTCAGATAATCTAAAACAAAATTAGTTGAATACTATTTTCTGATCTATTTTATCCATTTTAAGTAATAGATGCAAAATTTTTGAACTTGGTAGACAAATACAAGAACACAAATGTGCATCTTTACATTCATATATTAGCAAAATAAATTTGCTGAATTATTTTACTCCCCTTAAGTCTAGTTACCTGCGCCTAAGATGAGCTTATCCAGGCTATTAGATATCTTGGCCTTGTAAAGCAGCATATATTGCATGCTCATATTCTTCATGGGATTTAACTATTTTATATACCTCATTTGCTTTTCTTTTTAAGGGAAAACTTTATTTCAGTTTTAAAGACTGTATTCAAAAATGTGGAATGCATTTAAAAAAAATTGAGCAGGAAATATCATTTCTCCTTAAATGTAAAAATTTCAATAAAACTTCAAATCCTTAAAATATTTCACAAGAGTGACTGATAATTGATGCAGAAATCTTGAAGCATAGATTGCTCTTTCCATATTCTGAGTACTATTATTGTTAAAAGTAATTTAAAAGATGAAGGATGGAAGTGGGGTGAGAAGCACCTGGATGTTGCCTGTGTGACTTCAGGAAGAATCAGCTAAGGCCACCATTTCAATATTCAAAAACATTGAAAGGAAATTATTCAAGCATAGTGTATTTTTCTACAGGAATTTAATCTGTGTTAATAACCTTGTTTAGGGACCACCAGTGATTTTCAATTGAATGTATGCCTCATGTTTGTTGTTGTAAGGGTGAGTCTAGCAATACTTTTTCCCTTAACATGATAAGAGGACACGTAATAGAAGATATTCAATCCCTCTAAGTTTCCTCTTTTACAGAACATTGTTTCAGCTCCCTATCTCCATTTGGGCAATAAAATGCATTGCTTCGTAGATCAAAAGTAGATTCTAGGCTGTTCTGTTTATTTCAAAACATGATGAGATAAAGATGGTACTCAAATATTCAATAATTTGTTCATCAGCTTTATTTATTCAGATACTTCCTTCATGCTAGCTTTCTTATGGAGAGATGTTGCTTATTCCTGTCAGATGAATATTCTGAAAGCTCCTCTGGCTTCTTGATGCTTTATTCCTTTTCAGATCCATAACATCCCACCAGGATAGATAATCTTTATTTTCTTCACTTAATATTGGAAAGTCTTGAATGGTAAATGAGGATATATCACGATCCTCTCATAAGTGTCAAAATACTGTCTACTGTTGTATAAGGCCCTCTGCATAAAGAAAAGGCATCTCAAGGTAAATTGACTTAGAAATTCATGAAAAATGCAGACATAAAACACCTCCTGCTGCTGCCTTCAAAATGTTGCACAAGTCTCTCTAATGTGTGGGCAATAGCATATGGCAGGGAAGTCCATTCAGAGCTGAGACTGTGAACTGCATTTGATGCTTTACTCTTTTACTTGGATGTATATGTTTGTGTGATTGCATTGATAGCAGAATATATCTGTGCCTAATGAAGTGGTGAGTTGAGCCTCTTGAACTCCCAATATCTCTGCCTTTTACTCCCCGCAACACTTCATTGGCAGTATCTGTTGTAGTGCAGCATGTTCATTCCCCTGGCCGGGGTTCTGCAAAACAGTGCAATTTAAGCAGCTTTTTCAGTTTTCACAGCGAGTGAGATAAAAGTCTGAATCTGACACAATGTTTGTGAAGAGATGTTACTCAGCCTCAACTAGTTTACTAGTCTCTTGATCTAGTCCATTGCTGTCCTTATATTTTAGACTGAATATAAGTTAACAGCAAATAGTTGGGCTAGAAATAAACAGTCACTGTGGTGTCATGTTCATATCTCTACACTTCATCAGGATGGCCTCTGGCCAGCACTCTGAGACGTGTAACAGCATTCATTTAAGTCCTCTCATTTGAGATGTGAAAATTTATAGTTTCGACCATGTAAAACAGGATGATTTCAAGTTTTGGAGAAAATCAAATCTCACTTTCTTTGTTTTTAAAACAGAAGTCTCAATCATCTACCTCAAGACTACTATTTCAGCTTTGGAAATAGTGAGTTTAGTATCCTTCTCCTTTGCCACCACTCGCTCTAATAACCATCTCTTTCTTCTGTAGATCACCAAAACTTGTAGAAGGAGCTTTCTCATCTTGTAGCATGTTGACAAAATGAATACCACAGTGAGCAGCAAGCAAGGTAGCTTTTAAACTAGGAATGCCAAACTGGCTGTGCTGCTTCTGGGAC